CCCCCTAGTGGCTTCCCTTGGTACTGCAGCGCAACTTCCGGATTTGATATCTCGCGATCTGGACATGCTAGGGTCATGAAATTTTGATGGAAGGTAGCTCTTGTGCTTGGGAAGAAGTCATATGAGTTTGGCCCCCTAGCGGCTTGTTCTGGAACTGCAGGGCACTTTCTGGCGAAATGTTTAAAAGCCAATAAGTCCAGACAGGAACAACATATTTTCATTATTTTTGGTGTGTAGGTAGCTGAGAGAGAGATGTACATAATTAAATGCAAATTATGCAAATGAGGACTTTATTTGCATAATTAATGAGGAAATTCTATAATTACAGTGTTTTACATTATACTACTTACATACATGTAATGTATGTAAGGTCTCGGACCGGAGTTTCCCTCCGTATTTCGAGCAATTTGACACCCTCAGCCCGACGGGCTGTCATTTCTGTACTAAACGCGGGTCGGAATTTTTCACTCTTTTGGTGGAAAGGGGTGCCGTGCCGCTTATCAATACACTTGATTGATATTTTCTGTGCCCAATTTATTTAGGGGTAAATGAGGCACATCAAAGTACATTTTGAAAAAAGGGGTCATTTTTTTCGTCATTTTTAACCATGGCTGCATGGAATAAACGAATTTTCCCAGGGTAACGGCTTAGTACTCGAAGAAGCTCAGAACCTAATGTTTCCAAAATTTGAATTTAATTAAAATCGATGCGATAAGTTTATCGCTATCTTCGATGGCCCGAACACACCCAGAACGCATATAGAACGTACCATCCCGGCGGTCAGGCGAAAAGGCCACATAACCATCCGCGCGGACGAATACCAGGAAGTCTTAGCTGCACCACCAACATTACGCCACCTATAAAGGCTACAACTAACAGGCTTTTCAGAAAATACAAAGATATGTACACAGATATTACTGCGCACTTACTTAGACTCTGGTCAGAATTAAACTCCGACCCGAAACCGTAACCTATGGCAGGCGGACCTTCAACGCATACTAATTATGCAAATGATGACCTAATTTGCATAATTAATGCGAAAATTCTATGATTTCGTAATGGTGAATTATGAGAATGTCTTCATTATTTTTGGTGTGTAGGTAGCTGAGAGAGAGATGTACATAATTAAATGCAAATTATGCAAATGAGGACTTTATTTGCATAATTAATGAGGAAATTCTATAATTACAGTGTTTTACATTATTCTACTTACCTACATGTAATGTCTGTAACCTATGGCAGGCGGAACTTCAACAGATACTAACTATGCAAATGATGACCTAATTTACATAATTAATAAAATTCTATGATTTCATAATGGCGAATGATGAGAATGTCATACCTGGGACATCTGTAAGTTAATCAAAAGTTAACATACATCACGATGCATATATCATGTTAATGCAGAGGTCATTTGCACAATTAAAGAAGAAATTTACATTTACATATCAAGATCATATTTCATGGAGGTATGAGATCTCGGAATTCTAGTTTCTTACTACAAATCTCGCCTAAACGACATTTTTTCAACGTCGACAACTTATGTACCTGGACCACAACCTGTCGGTGCAATAACTGTTTAGCGATTTGATTTGATTACTCATTTGTTTGTTAGGTGCTTATAGGTTTGCTATCATCATTTTAAATTGTTGCTTGTTTGTTTGTTTGTTTGTTTGTTTGTTTTTGTCTCTATGTTTCTAGAGGAATGGGCCTAGTAGAGGAACTCTATGTTCCTGTTGCCGGCTCCTCTCAGAATTTTAATTTCTGTAAAGCTGAATAAATAGATAAATAAATAAATAAAACATTGCAGGTACGTGGTTCTCGTCTGTACCAGCGTTACACGGATGTCACCCCGGGGTGCGTTCATCGTCACTGTCCTGGTGTGGGCAGTGTCCATGCTCCTGGCCATCCCTGCAGCCGTCTACTCAAAAGCCGTCCCCTACCAAAGTGGCCGGTCAGCCTTCTGCGGACAAGTCTGGCCAGTAGACGCCGAAAACATGTAAGATTCTTGTATTCCGTTTCGGGATGAATATAGTACTTGTTACAGCTGTGCGGTCGTTCCACTGAAAAGCTTTTAAGGAGTGAGAGTAATGCCATTTTGTAACAGCATCACAGACTGTGTGGCTTGAGTAAAAATAAAATTAATATTGCAGGAAGTGTATTGCGTCCCCCGTCAGATGTGTATATAAGCCTTTATGGCTTCTTCTACTTTATTATTATCTATCCCCTGACCAAATAGTTACTTTTTTGCCATCACATTTATAGTATCTTCGTACAGCTACTTTGCCGATTTTTTTAAAGTTACCAACATGGCATATGGGCTATTTTTGTATCTGCAGGTACAAGGCCTACTACCTGACATTGTTCATCCTCCAGTTCGCCCTGCCAGTCCTCATCATGGGCTTTTGCTACATCCGGATCGGCCTACGCATATGGTAATTTTTCTACCCCTATGATTACATTTGATTATATTCATGTTGCCAATTCATTATGTCTATCCATCTATCTATCTATCTATCTATCTATCTATCTATCTATCTATCTATTTGTGTGTGTGTGTGTGTGTGTGTGTGTGTGTGTGTGTGTGTTGTGTGTGTGTGTGTTTGTGTACTTATTTACGTACTTATATTACATACGTATGCAAATGTTTACACATTTAGGGTTACTAGAATATTCTTTAATCAGTGACTGTTTTTGTAAGGTAAAAACACGTACCTCCAAATTTTCTATGTCGACTGTACATATTAATCACGGAGTGACCTTATAACATATGTGCAGGGCCTGCCCTCTATCACATGTTTTATGTATTAAAGCTGCAGTATGTAACAGCATAATCATCCACAAGTCAATTTTGGGTCATTTCTTTACGAAGTACACCGCACATTGATTCAAACCTACACAATTGCAAATAACTGACTGTCATCGAGGAAGTGGAGGTATCAAAATGTTACACCATGCAAATGTGCTTAAAAGCTGGAAACTTAGCTGTCAGTAATGTTTGTTTACGTTCTTGTTTTTTGTAGTGGCTTCACCTCGTGTGGGCTGTTCTATTGTTAACCAAAATGCTAGAATGCTAAATAATGTCCCTTTTGAAGTCCTGATATGCCTTAGTTGTGCAAATAAGATAAACTCATGGTTAATTATATGAGAACAAGGGTACATTGGGCATAGCGGTCCTATTTGTACTTTCTTTATTTATTTCATTTGTTATATTTTATTCGCTTGTTTCATAAAAGTCATTAGTTTACCGTATGATTTTGAAGCACTTTTACCAACATGTTATTTTGTAATTAAGTTATTTTGTACCTTTGTTTTCCTGTTTGTTACTTATTATTAATAAGTATATTTCGTAAATGTATGTCCGCAGGGAACATTGAAGAACGCCCTTGCGGCGACATGTTTTACCCTGAGTAAATAAATAAAAAAAATGAAAATGAAAAACTCTTTCAGGTACCGAACGGTTCCCGGACATCAGACCGACGAACAACAGTTGAGAATCCAGCAGTCCAAACGCCGCGTGGTGCGGCTGCTCATGGTCATCGTCGCCCTCTTCACCCTCGGCTGGCTCCCCTACTACATCTACGCCATCATCCGAGACTTCTTCCCAGAAATCCTGCACGACACCCACCACAACACAACCATCTACTTCATCGTGGAGGCACTCGGGATGTCCAACAGCATGATCAACACTATCGTGTACATCCTCATGAACAAGAGCGCCAGGAAGCACATCAAGATGTTAGCTAGTGACTGTATGGCGTTACGAAGAAATAGACAAAACAGACGAGTTGGGGCTCAGCCGGGAGTCATGGTCCGGGCACACACTTCCTCAGACACAAAATCACCCAGTTCTCGGGAAAGAAGGGAGGGCGGGAATAAAATAAACCCATTGGTGGAGCTCCAGACTGTTCGCACTGCGGCAGTAAATAATCAAGACGCTTCTTCATCTAGCGGTGAAAACAGTCGACTGAAACTCACCCCTAGAGAGTTTCGGCAACATCTCCAGCACGCCTATACCCTCCCGGGTGGGGTACAGACCACCTCGCAAATCGAGGACTGCAAAATCTCTACAATTGCCTAAAGAATTGATCAAACACGCTTGAAATCATATCTGGTGGTGCAATAATATGTAGAGGTAGAAATCGATCACCCCAAACTTTCTATACGCCACAAAGAACACATGTTGACAAAGGAATGTTTGCTAGTGCATAAGTAAGAAAATAAACCAACCATACAAATCACAGGCAATCAGCTGGTTAACCGCAAAATCAGACTTTCAACATATTCATTAGCTACGTGTATACATTGACTGCAAAAGTCTAACACCAGACGAACGGAGGGCCCCAACTCTGCTCTTTTTCATAAGCCTTTTTCAATACATGAAACGACATTAATGAACGGACATGTACCATACCATAGCCTAACTTCCGACTTTTAATCAGTAGAGTTAGATGTGTTTTTGAAATATCATGTTTACGTAAGGTCATATGTCTATGGTTTTATTACACGTATGCTTATGGATTTATTAGGACTTCCTTCATGATGTATTTTTGTTATATTTTTTCTGACTTTTTCTTCTTCACCTAAAAAGCAGTCAACAGGTAAATTTGATCATGAGATGTCCATACTAGATAAACAAACTACAAAAAGTTTGTAAATATCTGAGTTTAATATTGTTTGTGTGACACCTTTGTATTATAATGTATTGTTCATCGGTAAAGTCAAACTTTAATCAGTGTCAATATATCTCTTTTTAATAAGCTACTATATTTATTATGAATAATAGATTACTTAAATGTTTATATTGTATTAATATTGTGCCATGTTATTATGTAGATAGAGTGTAATTTTTTAGTTTTGCTACTCTTTGTATGTATACGACTAAGATACGTGTTTCGTGTACTATTTTGAAATGATTTATGTCAAACATATGAAAATGTATAAATTATATAAAACGTTTATTAATACGTGGTTAATACGCGACATTAATGTATTCGGCGAGTTCAAATGGATATTGTATTCATGTTAATGGTGAATAAAATTTGTCATCAAAACTTGTTTTCCTCGTGTGGAAATTGAATTAAGACTCTTCTTTGCATACAATGTATATTAGTGCAGCCTATCATTTTTAAACCAAAAAGTATCATTTATTGTTTAACATGGTTATAACAAAACGGGAACCACAACAAGAAGAAATTTATCAGTAAAATGAGCTTCAACAAAGAGGGTCAAAATCCTAGTAAATGTAGGCCTGTAGCTGAAGAAAAATTACGGATGCCGTCTGAAAGTTTCTATGCTTCAATTGTAAATCGTGCGTATCTAGTTTAAATCCTTCTATTTATATTCATAACCTTCAGCGCATACAAATTGTAGAAAAGAATTTATGCCACAATTAGAGAAATATTCTGTCAACTTACTTCCTAAAAAGGGTGTGTGATAGATGAATACGATATTAAGGACAACCCTAAAATAATTTAAACCATTCGACCAGACGTTATGGAATTAAATTACGATTCGTCCGACCTTGTATAGAGAACACGCATGAATTCCAATGGCTCTAAAAGACTGATTTGTATCAATAATGCTATAGAGCTAGACAATATAACACTTCAATATACACATGAATATGGAGGCATTGGCAGAAAATAAGCCTGGCAGACTGGCCGAAACATGTAATATGAAGTAAGCCTTTTCCTTGTTGGTAATAGTTAGGACAGACAGTCGCTTGCAAATGTTACATTTCTAGATATGTATTTATATTCTTTTCTGTTCAGTATATGTAAGAATGAGAAAACAATGTCCATAAAGTTTGCCAACCATCAGAAGTGTTAGGAAACGATATAGGAAAAAATTCCTGAAGGAAGATGTTACAACATCACCATTGGGTACTATTAGGTAGTCAATTTGTAGTTCAATCGTTTGATTCATTTGCTGACGTGCCAAGCCATTTTTTGCCGTGACTATAATTAACATCTTTAAGCCAATCAAGATGTTCCTACTGCAGCTGTGGTGGTTTAACAGGTATCGATTTTAGCCACAAGTGCCCTAATTAGCAGGCGTTCCATTGGTTAAAAAACTATTGATAAAAATGTGAACGGAATGGTTTTATTCATTAGTGAATGGTATTCATCCTTAGAGGAAAGTAATTCATATTTGTCAGATAATTCTCTTTCCTAAAAGGGATATTCATCATCCTTTCTGCATTAAACCTCCGAGAAATATATCAAATAATTATCCTGTTGAGAGTTGATACTTCCATAGTCCACTACAAGAAGGGCCTTTCTAATTCTTAGCAATTTTTAATTAATTAACAGGAGTTTGCTCACGTCACCAGTCAGGTTTTAAACAACTATTCCACAAATGTCAGGTTAATGTTGTAAAGGCAGGCGTCCAAACAAGTGAGAAGAGGAACGATGGGGGGTGGAGAAGACAGCGCAGACGCTGAGGCCAGCACCAACATCCATGTAGCCAGGTGCGGAATTCACCTGCGACAATTGCAACAAGTGTCCATAGGCGACAATTCTCCGTGAAGTTTTATATTTTGCAGATTGATAACAGTAAAATTGTATGTAAACAGTGTGTGATCACTTAACAACTGGTAACAACGTATCGTAAAAATGACTAAATCCTTGGTCTAATAATCTAGCATGACTAAAAAATTGCGCACCTGCCCAGAGGTTTGCCGCCCCCTTGGGGAAACAGTTGCAGACTAACTAGTCTAAACACAGGCTACATAAAATCAACAACACGACAATCTAAATAGATGAACAAAGTCAGCTTTCATAACAATATCTTTACTACATGTACATATTATTCATTTGACAAGGTATCGCAGTAGGTGCAAACCACAATCCCAAAAGATACTCGCAACCATTATGCACAACAGCCACCTAATATCTGCTTAGATAACCTCTGCTACCAGACAACTACCTCAACCTACGGACTATTCCACAGGATTGTAAAAGTAGGGATGTTTCTAAAATATGCATTTACTTCAATGTCAAAACAGCTACGGTGAAAATAAAAAGACGTGCATCATCACGGACATAATGGTACACATTTAATGGTTTTCTAGCAACTCTCCGATTGATTCTTATAGGTACTATATAATTTGATTCACAGACAATTATAAACGATTCTTAGCTCACATGTCCAATGGAAAGACTATCGAATAACATTGCAACGTTTGCTTTAAACATGTTAGCTTTGGACCTGAGCCAAACACGAATCCTTCAATCCGTCCACACAGCTCAGCCATGTTTAAAACCTAAAACCAACATACATTTTCAACTGAAAAAAGAACGTCCACCAGCCATGTCCTATAAAAAAAACATTTCCGAAAAACAGTCCCCCCACATCTTCGTTTCCTGGAACCGGTTTGTATTAAACAGGATTTTTCCTCTTATCCAGCCGTCTATTGTAGATATAATTCCCAAACGGGGTGTCCTATGAAGGTCCTATGTATCAGCTTTAAATACCCTTCATTTATCTTGACATCAACTGACCTAGTTGATGTTATGTATGATTGCAGTATTTTACAACATCTTGCAGTTGGAAACACTAATTTGCTAAAATGATATTTTTCAGTATTACGAACTAGAAATAGAAAGATAAAACGCAATCCGCGGCCTCTCAGAGTTAATTAGCTATTGATACATATCCTTTTATTCTGTCAGAAATCACCTCCATGTGTACAATAATAAAAACCAGCCATTTTCTGAAGTGTCAGAACTGCTCTGTGTGTGAAGATGATCCACTATTACACCCGCTGTGTGAAATTATCAGGTTGACATTCCTCATGTGGATTGACAGGTTCCTAGAGTGCTTGAGAAACAATGAGAGTAGCGTAGGATGGAGTTAGGTGGAAAATAATGGTTGATCGATTCAATGGTGCCCCAACCATGTCAAGAGATAGCTAGTTGAGGCGTAATATTAATTGCGTGCCCCAGTATTGTGCACAGGGTTATACACAACACAGTTCCAAACCCTAGATTTTGTAGGCCATCAGACGGGTCGATCCACATTACGCTTGCCTCGTTGCTCATTTCTGGCAGAAAACCGCCATCCTTGTGAAAAATGAAAGGGAAATATCCGTTTGATAAAGCATGGATAAAAACTATGGGGCAAATTAACAATTTTATATAAATCATGGACGACTTAACAGCTCCCTTTGGAAAAGAAGATGTTCCTAGATCCTTTCATGATTCTCCCCTCAGGGCAACTGTGGCTAGCGTATTCAGCGTAATGAGAAAAACCGGTGACTGAATCAGTCAATACACCGGAGCAATAGATTTTTCTAAGAAACGCTTGAGTCTTACTGTAGGTATCAAAGCGCCACAATATCAACGAGCGGGTGTAAAATTGACCACGTCTTTTTTTCAGATACTGTGAAGATTATTTTGTCGTTTGAATAAGCCCCCATATAACGTACATAGAAGAATTAAATGTCATTTAATTCACCAAGGAGGAACTATTATTAAAATTTCAAGAAATTAGTAATAAGATTAAAGTAACCAAATACCTCCTGGGACATCTACCTAATAAGGCTTTATTCGGTGGTTATAGCAACTGACAAGGCTTTATCACACCATATTCACCTCGGGGCGGGTCATTGACCCGGTGTTCCAAGACGCATCTGGGATATAGAAAACAGGTCGCAGGCTGGGATATATTTCATATGTGTCTCCAGCGAAATTCACCTGGAACAAGCAGGGCTGTTTATCCCAAAGTGTGCTTGGTGGAAGAGCTCGTATTATAGCCTCCATGACCCTATTTGAATGCTATTTCATTCTTTGTTTCCTCCAAAATACATGTACCTCCAGCATCAGTATCATAAGTTGATAGAACAATCCGCGCACGTGTAACTAACGAATGGGGGATAGTTAGCCGATAGCCACAAGGTAATTATACAGTGATCAGGGACAGAGACTTAGTTGACAACAGGGAGGAAGTAGCTGACTCGATGCGAACTGGTGTTTTAATCATGAACTACCGGTACCGAGTCCTCCCTGCCCTTTGTTGCGTTCTGCTCGTACTACCGGCGCTTTATCCCCAACTTTGCCCATACCGCAACACCGTTACATCATCCTACGTTATGCTGAAGTCACATTTCCAAACCGGGACCCGGCCGGGCTGTTTTGAATAACGAAAAATCAACAATTTATATCAAAAACATACGCAAATAGCTTCCATTACTATTTTTTAAACTTTATATGTGCTTTACTGTCCTTTATATAATACTTTTTGTTCCATAAGAGTGCCCAACCGGGCCCCGGTTTATTAATTGGAAATGTGACCTCAGCTTTATGCTTAGGTCACATTTCCAAACCGGGGCCCGGCCGGGCTGTTTGTACGAACGAAAAATTAACTATTCATATCAAGAATATACAGAAATAGAGCTCATGATAGTTATCAAGAACTTTTCTGTGTCTTCTTGTCTTTTATATCGTACTTTTCGTTCCCAAAAGCTGCCCCGTGTGGGAATTGTGACCTCAGCATTATCAGGCCACACGCAGAAGAAGAGCCTCCGTCAGCCCTCCTCAAACTGTGCCCCAAGTAGTGAATTGTACCGTGGCCGACAAGAACAA